GTTTCACTTGTTTCACTTGTTTCACTTGTTTCACTTGTTTCACTTGTTTCACTTGTTTCACTTGGCTGGTGGTGGTTGGATGCGTAGAGCTGAAGACCGAGCTCAGTGGCGTGCCATTGGAGAGGCTTATATCCAGCAGTGGACGAAAGCAGGCCGTTGATGATGAATGAACCTACCGGAATCCTTGCTCCAGGACCCCTTACATCACGACTACTCTTTCAACAAGGCAGTTAGGTAGTCACACAATGATTGTAACAATAAAATGGTTGGTGTATACAACTTGACCACACAACAGTACAGGGCAGTCGACAGGTATCCATTTAATCCATTCGGTTTTAATTTGTTTGAATGCCTGTACGTTTAATACATCGCATCGCTGCCGACGATGCCTACTGAAGGCTACGTTAATAGGTTTCTGTTGTAACACACAGATAGACAATAGGATAGTTGACAGGGTATGAAAATTAAAAATCTATTTAGTCCGTTAGTTAGATAATGAAAAACTATTATAGGTACACGTTTTATTTGTAATGTCGCATTAGAAAACCATACTTAAATAAATCAAAGTTTAAGAATGGGAGGTCGTCATCGTTCAGTAGACTAAATTGTGACGTCACAAGATTAAGTAAATTCGCGGGTTACTCACGTGAATATACTGAGAAAAGCTCTACCAGTTTCGAACCACAGAGGGGTTCTTCCTCATGAGCAGTATCTCAGTACATTCACGTGAGTAACCCGCGTTTTTACTTAATTTAGTATGTCTCACGATAGTTATTATAAGTCACAAGATATTTCAAATCAATAATAATTATGTATCGTCGATAGAACTCAGACTGCCTCGTTGGCCAAGTGGTCGCAAGTGCGACTGCCGAGCAAGGTATATCGGATTTGATTCCCGGAAGGGGCAAAGTATTATTGGGTTTTAAAAAATCTCAGTACCTAGTAGCACGGAATTTGAGATTGTGCCAGGCATACAGCAATAGTCTCACTCCCTATTACATGGGACTCATAACATAAATAATGAAAAGTGTGCACCTCTGCCTACCCATTCAGGGATAAAAGGCGTGATGTTATGTTATGTTGTCGAAAGTATATGATACTGTGAGAAAAAAAATGTGCCGTAATGTTTTAAATTAATCTACCAGACGGACATTAAAATAAAATTGTAGGCAACAACCCTATGGTTTGAATTAAGTTTTTATGTTGTTTCTCCTGACCTTTACCAACTGGATCGATCTATCAATAATTTATGAAGCATTTCTTTGCCTGTCATTAGTTGTATTCTTGATGTTTGGTCACGATATACATGATCGGAGTACTGGTAACTCGATTGTAACTAATAGATGACGTCTTATGTATGTATGTACATTTGGAAAAGAGTCTCCATTAGTCAATAGTTATTTACTTGTTTGATGAAACGTTTTGAATACTGTATTCCAGTTTGTTTGTACGTCTTCTTTTTGTTTTTAATATTAGGATGAGAATGATCGCCTTTGATCCTATTCATAGTGGTCTAAACTCAGTTTCTAGTTGACAAATTGACACACGAGAAAATCCTAGTGTAATTTTTTCCCGAGCGTACGGCGCTCAGAGTCATCAGACCACCACGGATGGGGCCCAACAGGGCCGATGCCGATTCCGACTCCGAGCACCGACTCTCGTCTCCCCGTTAGGGTTACCGGGGCTCCGGCTCGACGTGCAGGAGAAGGAACGGGGCTGCTTTTAGTCAGTAAGAGTCTGACACTCCCTCCCGCCTCACCCAGGTGGGAGCAGTCATTCGAAGATTTTCCCCCCTTAAAAAAAGAAGTGTAATTTTTTGGTGTAGCTTTAGATGACAACTTTAATATAACCTACTAGCTTCTGCTCATGACTTTGAACGCGCCATTCCGATGTTTCCCGTTCCTGTTCGTGATATTGCGGTAAAAAGTAAAAAAAATATTGAGTAAAAAGTATCCTCTGTCGGTCTCCTGGTTCTAAGCTACCTCTCCACCAATTTTCAGTCAAATCGATATAGCTGTTTTAGCGTTATAAATAGTGTAACCAACACGACTTTCTTTTATATATATTAGATGTGTAGATTAAAGTTTTCGTTCGAAATACAACAATTCTCCATTTAACTAAAGAAATGCTACTACCAAAACACTTGGCGCAATGAATCCAGCCTCCGATAGCATCAACGTTTGACTCAAAGCCAGCCAATCTATTTCCAAAACCGTTTGGCTTTCGCTACAAATCTGAAGCAACTTTGTAGTCTTTTGTTATTCCCTAAGTTCAATGTAGAAAAGAAAATGTAAAGCCCTGTTGGCTGCCACTTCGTTGACAATGACGTTTTGTTGTACAAATTGTACAGTTTATATGGAAATAAGAGGACTTATTTGGGTCGAAAGACTGAATAAGACTTTTTTGTATAGTGTTAATTTAGCCGGTTACATCGACAGCCTAAGTCGAAAGGCCTCTTCTGCTGGCTCAATGCGGATTGGTAATTTGAAACTTATAATTAGAAATTATTAGTCCAGGTGTCCACACGATGATGACCTTCATCGCTTGTCAGTGGTATCTAAATAATCTTAGAAAGTACATATAACTCGGAAAAAGTCATATTGTTAGACGTTGGTAGGTTTTGAACTCCGGACCACCACGACGACGACTACATTTTAGCCGGTTATGGCTACTTTAATATTTTTCGGAGTTGATTTTTTTACTATTTAGTATGATTATGAAATATTAAAAGATAGTATTATTAATTACTGTTCGAGCGGTTGGTCAAATTTTCAACCCGAAAATTGTTTCGGGTCTGGGTGTCTTTGTGTCAAAGTATTGACTTTGTGGATCACATAGAGTGTTTGTTCCGTGCGGGAATCAAACCCGCGACAAATTGCACGGCAGCCATTTGCCCAGACACCGCACCCGCACCAACCGTGCAGTCATTTGAAATGTAGATTTCAAGAAATTCTCTTTTAGTTGTGTCAGACAGGGGATTTTCCTAGGGAACCTCTAGGGGATTTTGTAAAATACCGAAATATATGGAATTAACCTATGCTTGCGCAGTAGACAAACTTGTGGTTACAAGGTCCCATCAGATAGTAATATTTTTCTAAATAATTCAAGACAGAATCGGCAAGATATAAGAATATCTTCGGTGTCTATACCCACAGTCCAGTTACTCAACATAATTATGTTATTTACATCGTCGGATCACGCCGGCCGGTGTCAGTGGGAGCATGCACTTCTCAATTGTCATCTCATCACACTTATCCAATATTGAGTCTTCCGCCCCAGCACTTGGCGTCACATGATCCTGTTTTGAGGACGATGTGTTGCTATGTATACCTAATATATTTAGAGGTATATGATTCACTAGCTGAGCCCGCGAATTCCTCCGCGTGGAATAGTGATCCACAGCCCTTCCCCCGTGGTTGATAGCATGATAATATGTAGCCTATATGTTGATCCACCTTGTTAGTAATCATCAACAGCCTATAAATGCCCACTGCTGAGCAAAGCCTCTTCTCACACGGAGAAGTTTAGAGAGTTAATCACCACGCTTGCTCAATGCGGGTTGGCGATTTCAAACTTATAATTAGAAATTATAAGTCCAGGTTTCCTCACGATGTTTTTCCTTCACCGTTTGTCAGTGGTGTCTAAATAATCTTAGAAAGTACATATAACTCGGAAAAAGTCACATTGGTACTTGCCGGTGGTAGGTTTCGAACCCGCACCCTCATGTATGAGAAGTGGGCGTCTTAAACCTCCGGGCCACCACGACATGTTAGTAATCTTCATGCAAAATTTGAAGGAAATCATACACATAGATACAGACAAACAGACAAAAACTCTAAAAACCATATTTTTGGTTTCGATATTGACTGTCGATCAAAGCATTCATCATCATCATCAAAGCAAACACTCGAAGCATTATTTAAAAAAAATATTCGATGCAGAGTTTTTACTTTCCTACGATTTTATTATATGTATAGAAGATGTATAGATATACGGTTTTAATGTGATTACTTTGGGTGTAGTACTGACCAATAGATACATACCTTTCCACAAGACTGCGTCTGTTCTTAATAGCTAGTTCAGATTTGTATAAAATTAAGAAGGATAATTTAAAAATAATAATAATAAACATTGCCCCACATTAGGATTTTCTTCTGTGTCGTGGGTGCATTTAAAAACATACAAGTCCACATACACATTACACCCAGACCCGGAACAACAATCTGTGGATCACACAAAGAGTTGTTCCGTGCGGGAATGGAATGCGCGATTCGTTGTGCAGCAGCCAGTTGCCCAGCCACTACACCAACCGTGCAGTCAAATAGGATGACTAACTAAATAATGTTCTCCACTTTTCATGGGATAAGTGTAGTTAAACAAGCATATTGAGTCGCCTGATGGTAAGCAATCAGTCCGGTTCCATAAAATAGTGAAAATTTAACAAATTCTGCATTAGATATTGATTTAGATCGGGATTTATGGTAACTGCGACTGTCAGGCACGATTTACCAACACTAGGGTTAAATCTAAACACTAGGGTTAAGCAGACATTCGATGAATTTCCCCCCTTAAAAAAAAATTATAAAAAAAAAGTTAAATCTGGGACATCCTCGTTGGCTGAGTGGTTGCAAATGCGACTGCCAGGCAAGGGGTCTTGGGTTCGATTTCCGGGTCGTGCAAACTATTACTGGGTAAAAAATCTCAGTAGTAGCACGGAGTCTGGAATTGTGCCTGGTATATGGCAATAGGCTCACCCCCTATTACATGGGACTCATAACATAAATAGTTAGAAGTGGGTGTTACACTGCACAGTGGCAGTGGCTTAATGTACACCTCTGTCTACACCTTTGGGGCAAAAAGGCGTGATGTTATGTTATGTAAGATTAAATAGACCCAGAAGAGCACTAGTGTCACTTTTTTGAACCATGAGGTCACATCTTCACAATTTTTAATCTATTTATGAAGTGGTCTAGATTCTAACAGTACATTTACTCCCCCAGCTACGCCCCACCGACAATGACGGTGACAGTATCAGCTGACAGGCGGTCGGACGCGCTGGCGGCGCAGCGGTGGGGCTCGCCGCGACAGGTCACACTCAAGCGGAGCCCTGGCGCTCCACTGGGCGTCAGCATTGTTGGTGGCAAGGTGAGACATTCAAAAATGCACCATAAGGATGTTGCTACAGAGAAGAAATTAAATTGAATGTCAGATGAAATTCTAGATAGACAGATAGGTTTCTCTCCGACTGACTGACATTTAAAAAAAGAATAAATAGATATGCAATATAATAGCTAGAAGAATGAGCCTACTAAATTCAACTCTATTGTTTTATTCATAAGGTCGATATAATCTCAAATCGTGATGGTGAGGAAGGAGAAGAGAAGGCTATATTCGGCATCTTCATCAAAAACGTGGTGCCTGGCAGTCCAGCGGGGAACTGTGGGGAGTTACAAGTAAGTGTTGTTATTGTGTCTGTTACTGAATCAGAACAAGTAGAACGATTTAGACCCCATTACTTTCATTTTAGACCCCCAATGCCCAAATACTCAAACAATTTTAAGTAGCATTTGAGTATAGTTCTGTCGCTACTTAAGTAATTTTTTTTTATGGATAAGCCGGTAAACTATTAGAGGGATCACCTGATGGTAAGCAATCGGCGCCGCCCATGGACACCTGGAACAGCAGAGGCGTTACATGTGCTTTACCGACCATTAGAGGATTGTTGGGGATTCAGAGATTGAAGAGATCGGGGAAGGGGTGGAGGGTAATTGGGCCTCCGGTAACCTCACTCACACGACGAAACATAACGCAAACGTTGTTAAATTGAGTAGCCTTTCAGTATTCGGGTATAAAGCAATTAGTTAAGTAAAACCTACTGCTAGGGAGTTTTGACTGTGCATTATTTGTCCAAGACCAGTGGAGTGAGTTGCGTCCACCTCCAGCCTATTACCAATTCAATCCAATTCAATCACACTCACTAACTTGTTACGATGTTGTTAGCTTGAACTTTTATTTAATTTCTTTAAACGAATCTTCGCTTTTAGATGATGCATAGATAGCATAGAACATCTCCTAAGCCACTTTCATTTATTAAATCTCTATTGATTTAACTCCTCAATTTCTCACAGACAGGCGACAGGATCCTAGAAGTGGATGGAGTATGTGTGAGGTCAGCGCAGCACGAGCGCGCCGTGCAGCTCATCAAGGCAGCTGGAGATACCGTCACACTTACTGTGCAGAGTCTACTAGCATGGGTAACTAGATCTTCTATCTAGAGCTATAAGGTGCAAAATCATGTGAACCCCCATAATTTTATCTTCCTTAGGATAAGATTTGGAGAATCTCATAACTTTTTATACTTTTTTAAGCGACCTCTAATGATGATTCTCTTTACAGAATACAGACTCTTCAGACGTGGAGCAGTCAACTCCGCCCACATCTCCCACTCCCTCCAAAAAGGATGGAAAGAAGTCCCCAGCACCCCCATTGCCGCAGAAAACTCCACAGCATGAGATCAAGGTAACTTTATATCGTAAAGTAAATAGACGTAGAAGAATGAATGTGACGAAAATCTTTTAGAAGATCCTTGACTTTATTATGTCTACAATTTCATAATACTACGTCTTTGACTCGGTTATCGGAAACTTTACCAGTGGACTTGCCCGTATGTATGTATGATATTACTAAGCCAGCACTTTATTTAATACAAATAACAGATGAAACTCAAACTCCGCGCCAAAATGGAAAACAGTTGTGTCAATCTAAAAACAAAAATTTGAATTTGGAACCATAAACAAATCATCCATTCCCGTTACTTTTTTGACTGAATGTATACTTGGTACCTGGATAACCAAGCTTTTCTCGTTGTTTTTTTAGTAACCATCATTTTTTGAAAATGAAACCTAGCTAAATCTATTTGTCGCCCCCGAAACCCCCTGAATCCAAAATTTTAAGAAAATCCTTCTATCCATTTCCGAGATCCTTGACATACAATATATGCAAGAATTGCTCGTTTAAACGTAGGTATTAGATTTAGAAGATGTCTTTTGAGTAGGTCCCAATCCAAATGGGATAACCGAATAAAATCTGATGATGACCGAATCTAAACTAAAACTAAAAAGTAAATTTTTCAATGGTAAACGATTTTTTCAAACTAATGACTAATATTTTTAAATAAATATCTAGAACCGTGTACCCCATAAACAAAGGGTCGCTACTAATAAACAGCCAATTAAAAGTTTCACCATACCGTGTGAGTAAAATGATTTGTGTGCCTATAATAAGGTCTAGGTATGCAGTCGGCAATAAATTATCGCTACACCATGTAATAATTTCTCAACACATAAAAGTCAACGTCACGGCCATAATAATTTTATGGGAGTTCGCCTCAAGGTCGCCATTGTCTTTTCCTACTATTATTTTGTTTTATAGTTCTTTCTACGAATTATATAATTCATAAAACTGATAATTTGGAGACGAGTTATAAATTAATAAGATTTTCGTGTTGTTCCAGTCTCTCAATGTAATCAAATATGTAAGAAAAATAGCACAATATATTTCTGTCCCTGTCGTCTCAAGCGATGTGTCGTTAAAGATTTGTCATTTGTTTATCCACTACATTTCTAAGTCGGAACCCAGGAGAATCGCGTGGAAAGTTATGTTAAAGAATAATACAACTTATTTCTTACAAATTATGATACATTTTAACATAAATTATAGATTACACACACTATAACAAACAAAACACTCTGGACTAACCAGTCTTTAACAAAGTCTCAACTCTATTCCTATAACATAAAGTTATCATCCTAATTATAAACTCTTCTCCTCAGATAACAGTGACATCAGAAGCTGACGTGGAAAAAGAAGCGACTGACAGTGAGAAGCCAGTGGACAGTGATCCTCCACCAGCACCAGCTAAAGTGGTGTACTCCGATTCCGAGAGTAGTGACGAGGAAGATGAGAGGGAACTGCAGGGCAGGACTTATTCGGATAAAGGAGTTGAGGTGAGTAAGAGTAAGAGGGTAAAAAGATTATAATGGTGATGGTGAAGATTTGTCTTGTGTGTGCTGTATTGTCGACGGGAAAGAGAATGAATAATGATGTGACAGACGAATTACAAAATGAAAATTGGAGTACAAAAAGTACTTAAATAATAATTTATTTTAAAAGTCCAAAAAAAGAGAAACAGACAAGAGTGTGCGAGCCATGTTTCAGCGCAAATGGACCGGTACACCGGAGTGACACCACGGCCTCACAGAAAACCGACTTGAAACAACGCTTGCGTTGTGTTTCGTCGTGTGAGTTAGGCTACCGGAGGCCCAATTACCCCCTTCCACACTCTCTTCAATTCCTGAATCCCCAACAATCCACAAATTCCTAATCCCCAAAAGGCCGGTAACGCATCTTGTAATGCCTCTGGTGTTTCGGGTATCCATGGGCAATGTCGATTGCTTACTATCAGGTGCAGGTATCCGTCTGCTCGTTTACCGGCTTATACCATAAAAAAGACAGTGCTGCTACTCCAAAAATAACATCTGGCGAAAAATGCTTATATTGGCTTCGTAAAGAATTAATTTGTAATCTAAAAATACACAGAATGATTTTTGACGTCCCCATAGCTACTATAAAAAAATATGAAATGACTTAGACTAAGGCAAGCGCCAGAAATAAGATTGATGAACCGCTGTCAACTATTCGAATAATTAATTGGTGTGAAGAACCTGAGGAAAGAATTTCGGAGGAAAAATTTCTGTCGCAGATGATTCTTACTTGCCATTTTTTATTGCGAGTGTCAAGGGCACCGATGCAAACAAAGTAATTAGAGTTCGCTGTTCGTGGTATGCTACTACTGTGACCTTCCAAACAGGGCTCAGTTATACCTTTTCAAAAATTGTGTATATGAAAGTAGGTTACTTGAAAGTAACACAAGAACTGAAAGCACTGAAGTGTAAATCTTGTAAAATAATAAATAATGGCATGATACCCAATGGTATACTTAGGTCCTAGTAACCACAATTTTCACATAATTGCTAAAGACTCAAGTAAACCTGATGCATGTTGGGCAGAATTACCAATGGCAAACCACAATATAGGAGAAATCTTTAATAAAACAAAACATGCAACCAAAAAGCAAACACCTCTCGACACTAAGGACCAAAAATTTCATTTCTCAACACTAACATTGGTCCTTTTATCCCCCAGATCGATCGAGCATCAGCAGGAGCAGTAAAGCGCAGCAAAGAAGAGAAGGAAGCGGACCCAGAAGAAGAAGATGACTTCGGCTACACAACAAGTGAGTGGAAAGATACATTATTCACTCTAATCAACTTCTCTTTTTATATTGTCCACGTTTACTTCTACGCGTGTCTCATCGAACACAACAGATGAAATTTCGGGAAACTGCGGTTTAAGATATATCTTACTTTTAATATAATTTAAGATTTCAAACCCCATAAAAATATATTTCAATATTCCAATGACGCGGAGTCTCTTTGAATATGTTCAGAAGAGCGGTTTTGGATTTTAAGTACTATTTTTTTGGAATAAGATACGGTTTTGAAAAACATTGTTTGTGTTGATCTGTATTCGGTATTATCCTGATCATTGTCCACTTATTGATTTTTACACTTATAACTTATTTATGATCTAAATGGTGATTGAAGTCTTTGAGACATTCAAATATATTTGTGTGATGAATGGACGGATGATTCTAAGAGACAAATTTTATTTCAACACTAAAGTTTACGTAGCTGTACAGTGCATCTGTTCACAGACCATTACACAGTTCTTTTCTAATGTCACTTCGGTTTCATACGTCATAAATATGATCTGTTATGATATATACGTAATCAACGTATTATGATACTTCGGCGGACCTGGGTGCTTACTCTTGAAACCAATCTCAATGTCAATGCAATTTCAATCCATGGAAATCTCAATAATTATTCAATGTTAAAACTGTGCAATCCGTTTCGTAGCTGTTGAAATAGCATTTAGAGTACGTAGTATAAAGCCAAACTCAATACCATTTAGTTAATGCAATATCCACGCAATACGGGTGCAATGGGTGCTAGTGTTACAACTCAAGAGTACGAAATTTTACAATACCAATATCGATCGATCGGAATTGAATTCAAGAGTAAGCCCCCAGTTTCTCTCTAGAAAACAATGTTGTTCCTCAAATTTAAGGAATATCTAATTAAATACTGTAATAAGTTAATGACTTATGAACAACTATAAATATTCAAATATATAAAAATATTTTCAACAGTTTTAGGAATGAAAAGCGATCATAAAACAATATCATATGACTATTTTGAACGGAATAAAACTCCAATTTTATCTTCATGTAAAACGTATCTTTTAGTTACTACCCAACATACTCCTACCATAATATTTATAATACATTGTGGTATTCTGTCCATAAACCAACCGCAAACTACCCAGGAAACCAAGTTAACCAGAAACGACCACATAAACTCCACAATATTGTAAATTTTGTACCAGAGACGGAAGTTCGTGGTGAGAAAACATGTGGAGTTCAAGGTTTTAATGGTGTAAATATAAATATATTAAAATAGTTACCATGGGGTTCATAAATAGATTTTGAGAGTTACTTTTTATGGGATAACTAGCAGACGGATTACCTGATGGTAAGCAATTGGCGCTGCCTATGGACATTCAAAAGACCATAGGAGTTATAAATGTGTTGCCGGTATACCGTGAAATTTCACGGTATTTGGGATTTGGGCATTCAGGGGTTGAGGAGATTAGAATTGTTGTGGTTGGTTGACCATAAAAATAAACAACAAGTTCGTTTTTTTTTTAATAAAACGTTGCCCTTAACTATGATTTTCTCCTGTGTCGTAGGTGCGTTTACAAACATACAAATTCACATACACATGACACCCAGACCCGGAACAATAATCTGTGTTTCATACAAGGAGTTGTTCCGTGCAGGAATGGAACTCGCAACACGTTCGCGGAAACCAGTTGCCCAGTCACTGCGCCAACCGTCAGCAGTCAGTATTATTTTGGGGTCATAAAAGTACTGTAGACGAATTTGGGTCTTTACGATCTTACAAATATTAACAGGGGTTGGTTTGTGGTAATATTGATTGTATGAGTCAGGAAGGAATCTCTAGCTAGAGGAATAAGGATAAAAAGGTGAAATTTAGAATGATACGCACAAGACATTGGTCCTACGAAAAGAGTCTCGCGTCTTTATCATGAAATTTTACAACAATTTGGAATTAAGGCACTTCTATTACATTGTACAACGTCATTTTTTAAAGAATTTTCTTTTGAATCAATTGGCATTACAAGTGCGTTACCGGCCTTTTGAGATTAGAAATTTGAGGATTGTTGGAGATTCAAGGATTGGAGAAGGGGGGGGGGGTAATTGGGCCTCCTGTAACCTCACTAACACGACGAAACACAACTGTTACACGTCAGTCTGTGAAGCCGTGGTATCAGTCCGGTCGAGACAACCCATTCGTGCCGAAGCATGGCTCTCCCACACAATGATTTCCGTCATGATTTTGATTCACTGATTCTATCGTGAATGAGACGAAACTGATGTTTTAAAGAGTGTATTTTTAAAACCGATACCTATAATATAACCTTGAATAATCACCTGATGACTTGGCTTCGTGAATCTATTTCTACCACCAAACAGAATCAGTTCGTTCTGGTCTGCCAGAATGTGACATTAGCCATCAGGCACCCATTGTAAACGACACCCACATTAACCATAACGCTTCATATTATTCGTGGAAATTTGTATTTACATAGTTTATGAGTATCATTGACATATTGTGGGACACACCTAAAATTAGGTGCGATATTAATGTTATGAGTCCCTATTAATGTTATGAGTCCCATGTAATAGGGGGTCAGTATATTGCCATATTCCGGGCACAACACACGGTCCAGACTGCGTGCTACTACAGAAAAAAAAAAACCTGTAGGTAGTTCTTTGCCCGGACCCGGGAATCGATCCTTGGCCGAGTGGTCCCAAGTGCGACCAATGACGCAGTTAAGGGGCAGTGCTTAAACTGTCAAACACCAAGCGGTCACCGGTGACCGCAACCTATTGTTCTATAATTGTGTCTATAATGACGGTACTCGACGAGTTAAATTGCAATTTGCAATTATAAGGCATAATTCATAACAGTACCAAAAGGGATAGTAAATAATAACCGGATAATACTTTGTCATGAGAACATATTATTAGCTAATCCTTGTAAGAAGGTTTATTTATAAAAGCAAAGTTTAGCTGGAACTTAGCGTAACTCCTGGCGGCCTAGTTCGTGAGTTTGTCAGAAAATATTGCCTGTACTACATGTTGTAACATTTTTGTTTATTGGCGGTATTTTAGTAAGACGTTCGTTCGTTCTAGAGTGATGGTTTTCAGTTTAGAATAAGTAGTCTTTTGTTTCTATCTTATTGAAGTAGAGGTATAATATTGTTTATACACCAGAAGTTTCTTATGAATCATGGTCGAACGACCGGTCGAATATTCGGCACATTACCTATATGCACAGAGATGTAGACAAAAATAAAAATAATGAATAGCATAAAAAAGACAGACATCACCAAATTAAAATAATAAACTGAAATACATATGATAAAAATAAATACATGCCCCTGGCGATCGGGCCTCCACCTCCTCACATATTGTTCTATTATACAATACACTATCTGAAACAACAGACTATGGTTCACACAATGGTTCATACAACTTACGATCTCCGGCCACTGGAAGCGCAGGCCTGCGGATGGCGAGCATGGGTAACTCCCCGTCCAACCAGAAACAGACCCGAGCGCACGGCGCGTCGCGTTCAGCGCGCGCCTCAAAGAGCAATCAGACCACCACGGATGGGGCCCAACAGGATTGATGCCGATTCGGAGTCCTGGAGAACCTAACGGGTTACCGGGGCTCCGAATCGAAGCGCAGGAGAAGGGGTGGTTTTTAGTCAGTAAGAGTCTGATACTCTGTCCCGCCTCACCTAACTAGATGATTTTCCCCCCTTAAAAAAATGGTTCACACTACTTATTTCTCCGTGTGTGAATTGAGCCCGCGACACGGTATAGCCTATTACTAAGGGTTCGTACACAAAACTGCAATGAGACGTCGTATCGCAAAAATGTGCGAGCTCAATCTACGCATCGCAAGAACTTTTTTCGCATCGCGCATCAAGATCTTATCTTCCCAAAATCTTCTTCGTTTCTTTTTCCTATATCTCCTAAGCAATAACAGAAGTGCACACTTATTTTTACGATCGCGTCATGTCACGACCTATTGTTCAATTTAAAATACTTACGTTTAGTACGGTTGATGGTCGTTTCTGGGAGACGCCTTGTTGCACGAAATCGCATCGCAGCATTTCGCATCGTAATTCTTTGCGTTGCGAATTGGCATCGCATCGCGCCACAGTTTTATGTACACGAGCCCTTATTGGGAATAAAAATTTATCATGATTTAAAGTTAAGCCATTCGTTTTTAACTCTTAAGAAGCTTAACATTAAGTCGTACTTACAACATAAAGGGCCTAAACAAAAACTACACTCATAGATTTTAGTTAAAAACAAAAAACTGCTGTTATTTGCGGTATACTTCGAGTACTGAGAGTCTTTAACAAATATTGGTAGACTAAGTTTAAAAATAAATCCAAATAAAGGAAGAAAATACAAAGAAGGATTAACGTTGTTGTTGTTTTTATAATTTTTTTTATAATAATCTCGTTTTTAATCCCACTTAATAATTTCCTTAAATGGGATATTTATAGGATTTAGATCCAGATTTAATAAGACATAAAATCTTTTTAATGAGGCGAGGGCGTCAGTTAAATGGACCAAAATATTTTTTTTATTTTATTTTTGTTTTTCTTTTATTAACATAGCATAACATAACTTGACGCCTTTTATCCCCGAAGGGGTAGGCAGAGGTGAATACAGAAGTAACATCCACTTTTCACTATTTATGTTATGAGACCCATGTAATAGGGGGTGAGCCTATTGCCATATACCGGGCACAGTTCCAGACTCCGTGCTACTACTGAGATTTTTTTTTAAAAAACCCAGTAATAATTTGCCCGACCCGGGGATCAAACCCGGGTCCCCTTGCCCGGCAGTCGCACTTGTGACCACTCGGCCAACGAGGCAGTCTTCAATACATAGTATAAAACAAAGTCGCTTTCGCTGTATGTCCGTATGTATGCTTAGATCTTTAAAACTACGCAACGGATTTTGATGCGGTTTTTTTTAATAGATAGAGTGATTCTTAAGGAA